AGCTGTAGCATACTTAAATACCAATTACAAACAACCTTCTGCACATATTTCTACAAAAATCCAAGTCCCGACTTCCTGAAAACCAGTTTTAAGTACTTTGTTTACATGGTCAAAAATTAACTGTTTGGACATTTTGCATTCATATTATTCGATGACGTCAAATTGAAACACTACAGTAGTTGATTGGAGTAGTAGCAACGATGCTTTTTATTTCGAAACCCATGATATTGTGTCTACAGTTAATTCGTATGCTCTAAGGATATCGTTTCTGCTCCGCTCTTGATATCGGTATTAGTCGAAGAGAAACTTCGGTCTAATTTACATCACATCTATTTTTTTTTAAATCAAACTTTGTTTTTGGTGTAGATGACATACATGTTTTGAGCAAAAAATCCTCAGAAAAATCTTTGGGACTTATCACGACATTAATAGCAACCAATACCGAATGAGAAGAAATGCTGAGGTAAAGCAGATGTATAGAGCGAGCGACATAGTCAAAGAGATTAAATCCCAACGTGTAAGATGGGCTGAGCTGGCCATGTCCATAGACTCCCTAATAAAATAACCGCCTTGCCAACATAATATGGAAGGAAGCCCCCACAGGAAGAAGGCCCTTCCTTAGGACCTCCACGAATGCGATGGAGAGACAATATATGTCAGATCTAAAGGTCGTACGACACTATGCATTTTCTTGTATCATTTCTTATATCGATTCTGATATAACAAAAAAATGGATAGTGTCATACAAGCTTATAGTTCTAATATTAAAAACGATACAAGAATATTTTATTAATATAATTATCTATTTTTATAGGTGTCAACATTTCGGCCAATCATGTGCCGAATCACATACAATTTCCGGTACAAAAACTTGCAAAGTGTCATACAGAGCACAATTGTACGTGCAAGAAAACATAAATAACTTTCTATATCAGAAACGATATAAGAAATGATACAAGAAAATGCATAGTGTCATACGGCCTTAAGAACAATAATTGACCAACTGACCCAACTATTATGGACGACCGTTCAAGATGGGATAATGAACATAGGGTTCAATGGAATAATTCAAATGTAGTCCTAAAAGAAACGGATGGTAAAAAAAGAAAAATCAAAGAAGCGGCTCTAATTATGCTAAATGAGGCCAATTGTGTCGCAAATTCCTCGGTAGAATGCAGTAGGATCTGGTTACCAATATTGAAAGAGGAAGTTATTAATAAGAAAATACCAGTATTAGTAAGTCAGTAACATATAGAGGATACATCATTTATGTTTTTTAAATAACGAAACATATAAAATCAGAATTTTGGTGTTTATTGAAGGTAAACTAACTACACGAACAAATACTTACCATGTCGGGATAGTACTATGAGGTTTTTTTCCTGGTTTTCCCTCATAATTTACTATGGAATCACTAACAGGAGAATTTTACTGTCATCATGTCATGTGTTTGTGTTTTTAAAGATGAATTACATGCTATGATTTTTTTCTGACGGATATTCTCAAGTTAAAGTTGATTTCATGTAATCGAATGAACTATCTTATAAGTAAAGTCGTCCCAGGAGCGCAACTCAACAATATTGGCAATATCATTTTAAAGTCGTCTACTTTAAAATGCATAATGTATGTCTGAATTGTCAATACAAATGAGTCAGATAAAATTAAATTATTAGAAAAATTTTTCACTATGTAACAAAAAACAAAATTTGTTTAATTTACTGTTTGTATTTTGAGAACGATTTCCGAAGTGGAAATTGAAATGTCAATAAACGTATTTTTATCTTTAATTGAGGCTAATTCCCAGTTAAATAGTAATTAATACAAACAATAGATTATTTTATTGCAATTTAAACAAAATGTATCCAGAGGACTATTTTTATGATCGGTGTAGTAGACCGTGTACGACTACTGGTACACAAAATTAAACTGCGTATATTGAAAGGTTAATAAACAGATTAAAAAACGAGTAATTTTAGTAATTCGCCAGTAGCAGGTACAGCGTTTTGATATACTTTCCAAAGTATCAAATAAATCGACAATTTCATAATAACTGTATTTTTTATTTTATTGTCCATAAAGAAATCCCAACGGAAATAATTGCATTTTTGATATAAAAAACCCATTCTTTCACCAGATTATATCATACAAATTTCATCATACCCTCGTATAATCTAATCGTACAACACATAGTTACAATAATAAATTTTTACTGCTGTAATTTCAGTGACAGTTAAATAAATATAACACAACTTATACCACATGTCATACAAGATTTGTCAGTTCTTAATCTACCTCTTGATGTTATGGCGAAATAAACGTCGATAATAAATGCTCGATGTACAATAACAAATAAAAAACAAAAATAAGAACAAGGACAAAAAATATTTATTATAATTATTACATCATTATTGTTGATTTGACTTGGGATAAGTATATATAGGCAAGTGGTTCATTTCAGTAATATTTTATATTTAAAATAAATAACCAATTTTTGACATTAAAAACATTGATTTAGTATCTGTTGTAATACAAAAGATATTCAGAATTTAACTATAATAACGTACAGAAAAACCAATCCATTCAAAATGTTGTCCAAATTTGACAATCATTTTTACCTAAGCTAACTTTATTGAATTAATGAGTTTTTGTAGTGTCTTTTGTCAACATCCACATCTAACACAACTTGAATAATTGTTGTCCTTAGTTGGTATACAAATTAGTAAACACCATTTAAAACTACAAGAATTCCAGGCAACAGTTGTACACAGTCATTTGAAGCAGTGATTAAAAAAAGGTTTAACAAGGATCGAATTCATTTGCGGTTTGTAAATGTGTATGAACATTTTTAAATTATTACAATGAAGAAATTGGTTGCTGTATCATGTTGGTTCACTACTGAAAACGTCCCAAAATGATAACTATGAAGGAAGTCCAAAAACTCAAAACTTTTTTGAAAGATTTGCGTATAAATGTTCGTGAAAGTACTATGTAATACTCTAAGCTTGCGCAAGTTAATTGGTGTATGCACTCATTGCAGGTCAGAAGCACTGTTCCTCAGATTTGGCTACATCGGACTTCCATTTATTCCCAAAACTGAAGATCTACCTCGCTGATCGGCATTTTTCGTACTATCAAGAAACCATTGCAGCTGTAAGCACTGAATGTATTAACATAAACGATTATGTTCTTTAAAAGCTAAAATCCCGTTTTTATTACTAAGCGAAAAACTTTTCTGCCCTCCAACTAACCACTTGAGAAAAGAATAAAATAAACGAATAAAACATATGACATCAGGGTTTATGGAGTTCATAATCAGAATCATTAGAATCATCTCTGGTGACGTCATCTAGAATATACATCGAAATAGACTGCCGGAGTGATGACATATTTTTATTGACATCTGTCAGTTTCACTTTCCAAACAAACCTTGTTCAGTGTGAATAATTTATATTTTTCGTTATTTTTTTTACAAAACCTTTCCGTTTTTTTTTGCAATATCTAAGTATTCAAATAGTTACTACAACAATTTTACAAGGTTGTGTAAATAATAAAGCATGTTGTTTTATAAAAACAGCAATAAAATGCATGTATCAGTAAAGTAAGGTTAGAATTTCCTTAATTTATACTTTTTAATTATGTTTCATAGAAATATGACACCGAATTATGATGGTACTATCGTAAAAAACACTATACTTAAAAAAAAGCAACGGAGGAAGCAAAATTTTAACTTAATAGAATCTTGAGATTGGGCAAACCCTGGCTTTTTCAACTTTTGTTTGGAAAGTAATAATAACAATATGTCCGCCGTGACGTCACACTCCGGCTGGTCATTAAAATTGTAATTTGATTAGAATTACTTGGAAATAGGTAGTTGACATATATGAAAGTAAATAGGATTTATTTTTTCGACTTTGTTATCCTAAACATCCGTTGATATCAACTTTTGTACTAAGGTAAGTTTGGTCAAATCAGCATAATAAACACCCTTAGTGCTTGAACACCCCAACAATCTTAATTGTAGCGCTTTTTATTGTTAAATTATTTAATTTTTATTTGAATTAATTTGATATTTTAGTATTATGGTTTTTAGTGAAGAATGAACCGCTGACCTAGAATATTTAGCAGAAACAACTAACAGTCTTATAGAAAAACTAAAAGTAGGTTCACTAAAATTTTTAAACGAATTTCAATAAGTTCGTCTATAAATTTAGAATAATTCGTTTATATACAGTTAGTCACAATATTGAGATTAATAATTTTATGTTTGGTAATATTTGAAATGCTAAATATTCAGAATTAATGTAACAAACATTTTGAGACTATTTCGTTCAAATAAGCGACCGAAAAGATATCTAGACCGTTCAATAAGTTTTTAGAAAATCCAATAGATGGCGCGTGTGTTATATAAAATGGTTTATTCGTTAGCATCATGTCGCACAGCTGTCAAAGTTAAAATTATATTCATCATATGGTTTGAATTTTATTGTCGTTTTTTTTTTTAATTTTTAAGCGCCATTTTTTTTATTTAAAAACATAGAAAAGTGACTGCAAGTGGTGAATAAAGATTATTCAAGAATTATACAAAATTATAATATTTTTAATATTATCAAAAATTGGATGTAAAGAAATCTTGGCAAGATGAGTGTTACGTTTGCCCTCAGTAGGGAATACATGCAATAGTGTGATCGACTTTAGAGTCTGTTTTGACATTTTTCATCGGAATGAGTTAATATATCGGTATATATCTGTAAATGAAATGTAGATACATTACTACATAGTGTTCTGAAATTATTTTCTTGTGGCATCTTAATTCAATTACTATTTTTATTGGGAATAAGCCACAATTTAAGTTTAAAATAAGTTTATTTTTGAAGTTTCGATTTCCACTTCGGAAATTGTTCTCAAAATACAAAAAATGTATTAATATTTTGTAATTTGAGAAAGATTTCCGAAATGGAAACCGAAAAATCAAAAATAAACTTATTTTAAATTTAAATTGTGGCTTATTCCCAATAAAAATGGTAATTACAATACTAAACTTCTGAGACAATGAAATGATCAAAGCAGTGGATTTTTTGAACGCGAACTGGTGCCGAAGAATGTGGAATATGTTGGCAAGGATTTGGCTACGGGATTTTAGGATAAATTTACATTTATTATTTAAAAAAATAAAAAAACAACTGGAAATGTATTATACATCGTTATTACCACATTTGAACGAACAACCCTGTACACTGGCACAGTTTCGATGGTTAATAGAAGTATTGAATTATTATCACGTCTATCGTATTAGGGAGATTTGTTACCCAGCGACTTTTTTATTTCCAAAGTTAAAAAAGGTTTCCTGACATACAGCAATTCATGTCCACACAAAGAGGTCGTTGCCCAAACAGTATACCCTAAAGCCGCGTTTACACGATGTCAATTGGCGAGACAGTTGTCAGAACACAACTTACTGGTATGAAATTATTGTCTTCGTCTAAACACTTCAGGCCAATTGCCTTGCCAACTGCCCTCACAATTGGCCCAAAATTCAGTTGTCTCCGAAAGTAGACTGAGGACAATGAGCTGAGCCCAGTGAGCCCCCACCACTCTAAATCTCAATTATCGCCGTGTGAACGGTGTAGGCCAGTAGTGACGAATACACATCATAGAATTTTTTGTTATTTCTACGAAGATTTTATATAATACGGTCATTTTCCAATATATTTTGATAAGTTTCTACCGGGTTTTGTTTAAAATATCAATAAAAAAATAAAATCAACTTGTACAATTATTTTGATATCCACATTTCTTCCAATAAATATCTTAGTAAAAGTAAGATTTGAAGTAAATTGAAGCTGGTCAGTTTTTCTTGATTTTTGGGCAAGGGATTTTTGAAAATTTTAATTTTTGGGCAAGTGATTTTTTTAAATAAACGCTTCAATTATAAAATGTAATTTTCATTACAATAAATTGTGGCTTAATCTCATATAAACATACTATTTAACTTGGATTTATCACAAGAAAACAGTTTGAGAACCTTTTTAGACCCAAATAGTTTGGTTTCAAAAACTCATTGCAACCCGAAAAATTCTATTCAGTTCGAAAGTCTGGTGAAATCTAACCTACCTTAGTCTATGAGGTCAAAAATATACTCAAACGCCTGTCATTGGGCGACAAACATAATATAATACTTTTGGTGATTATTGGAAAAATTATTGAAGTCCCCTAATAAAATTGAAAGAAAGTGTGTTCGAAAAAGTATAAGAAATTAAGATGAAAGAAAAATTAATAATTTAGATGACTGTAGAAATATCAAATGTTAAAGAAGTCTAAAACAAATAAATAAATTGCTTTCAGAATACTAGTCATATAATAAAAGTCAAATATTAGATTTAGCCATCTCATATTTGACTATCTCAACAATTTGGACTAACTGTACAAACTAAAGAGTAAAAATATAGCCTTGTGATTGTCATGATTAAAAATCTCGATCGTACATCATAATAATCAACGAAGAACAACAATATTGCTAACACAACTGGTTTTTTTATTACGTTTCCGAAAAGTCCGAATCGAGATTTAATATATCACCAAACACACTCTATATTTTTTATTGCAAAACGAAAATCTACAATTATCTTGTCAATGTATCTATCACAAAATTATTATAAATAAATTGAAATTGTTAATATGGTCCGGAAGTTATCTTTCCACAAATACATTATTTTTCTTCAACAACTTGAAGAAATTAGACAAAAAGAACCTGTTGGAATAATTTAATAATTAATAATTACATTTATGTAAATATTCATCTATTGAAGATCACTGGACCACTATCCAAAGTCTCATAATGATCCTTGTTAAAGTTCATGCCACGTACGTGTACACTTTTCTGTCTTCGGGCGTGCGCGCCAGATACTCTCTCTCTATCAGACCTTCTATCCTTTTCTTTATTATGACGGGCGAAGGAAGGAAACGGCTCTTGAGTTGTTCCGTCACTTCCGTGACGAGGATGTTGTGCGCCATGCGTTTACGCGATTTCATTATCCGTACGATAGCTGCCTCAATTTCGTGTTTTCTATCTTCATCGACCTGTCACATACATTATGTCAATAAAACAATATATTTAGAAAAAAAAAACAAAAACAATTATAATCTACAGAAAAACGGTGAAATAAATAAAGAAGTATTCGCTGTTCTACGGTAAGGGAAGGGATAGTCAAAAATCCGACGAGTTTGCTGTGGTGGAATTGTTATTAATGATGAATTAATATGATAAAAAATGTACTAGCAAAGATAAGAATGAAAATAACACCAAACAAAATTTTCTACAGGAAATCACCGAGGAAAAATTCAATGTAGAATCACTGTGGAACGACTCTACAAGAGAAATGTACCAAAGGAAGCTAGCACAGAAGATACAGCTGAAACAAATAGACGACATCAAAGATATAAACGCGAGCTGGGAGAAAATTAAAAACAATATTGAAGAAACAGCAACAGAAATTCTATGAAAACGCAAAGTCATATTTAACAAAAGAAACAACAATAGACCATGGTCCAGAAAAGAAATAAATGACAAATGTAACGAGAAACGACAGGCCTACACGAAGTACAAAACATCAAATACCCCATAATTCCGAGACAACTATAGAAGAATACGAAATGAAACAAAGCAGTTGGTAAGAAGAACAAAAAATGAACACTGGGAACAGTTTACAAAAAGGATGGAAAGCGACTTCTACGGTACACAAAAACAAATATGGAGATTCATAAGAAAACAACGGAAAGAAATGGCAGAATTGAAGGAATACAATAACATACCAGCTAACGAATGAGAAAGATACCTGACAGGACTGTTTAAAGCAAAGGCAAATAATAATCAACAAAATAACGTACCTGAATTAAGACATAAAGTAGAAATTAGTTTTCAGGAAGTAGAAATAGCCATAAAACACGGAGGAGAACGTATAACTCTAGAGATGACAAAACTTATACAAAAACTAATATTGCACTGCAAGATATCAGACGCATGGAGAAACAGCATAATGATACTAATGTTCAAGAAAAGAGATAAAGAAGACCTCAACAATTATAGAGGTATAAATCTACTGAACATCGCACTTAAGCTTACCACAAAAGTCCTAAACAACAAAATCAATAAACTAACAACTTTATCGGACGAACAACAAGGATTCAGCTCAGGAAGATCCTGCGTAGACGCCGTATTTGTACTAAGACAAATCACAGAAAAGACCATCGAATACAATAAACCAGCATATCTATGTTTTATAGACCTGACAAAGGCTTTCGATCGCATCCAAATCGAAGACGTCTTACACCTACTGTATAAAAGAAACATACCAATAAATATTATACAAACCATCGAAAACATCTATTTTCATAATGGAATACAGGCAAAGATAAATGGAAAACTAACACAGTGTATATCAATACAAAGCGGAGTCACACAGACTCGTTAAGCCCACTTCTCTTTAATATAATAATGGACGAAATAATACAAGCAGTACGTAAAGGTCATGGCTACAAAACGGGGAACAAAGAAATCCAAATATTATGTTATGCTGACGACGCCGCATTAATCGCCGAGACAGAAGACGAGCTCCAAAGATTAACACACATCTTCAATATAACAGCCAAGAATTACAATATATCAGCGGAAAAAACCAAATGTATGACAACATCTATATACCCACTACAGTGTAAAATCGAAATTGATGAGAAAATAATAAAGCAGGAAACAAAGTTTAGATATCTGGGAATAGATATAACTAGTTACGGATATCTTGAAGAAGAAGTACAACAACAAAGCTTAAAAGCAAGTAAAGTGGCGGGATCTCTTAATGACACAATCTGGAAGAACAAACACCTAAGACAAGACACAAAAACAAGAATCTATAAAGCAGCAATTACACCTCTATTAACATAAACGGCGGAGACAAGACCTAACACATTTAAAACGAGACGACTACTAGAAACAACAGAAATGAAAATTAAAAGCGAAAGCATAAGAGGAGCATGCAATATAGAAGACATAAATGGTTGACAAAACGAAAACAGAAGTGGAACGAACACATCAGTAGAATGGCAGAGGATACGATAATACAAATAGAACGAGATAAGCCACCAAATGGACGAAGAAGTATTGGCAGACCAAGAAAAAGATGGTGCGACAATTTAAACAATTTAAGACGCTAATATTGAAGAAGAAACAGGCTTTAAAGCCTACATACAAGAAGGAAGAAGAAGATAAATAATGTTCACGTTTAATAATATTCTGATACACTTATTTTATATTGAATTTTTTTAATGTACACGATTATAAAAAAAGACACTCTTCATATATTTGCGTTCACTATGATAGCAGAAGTGTAAATTAAATATAAAATGTAAATATAAAAATAATCTTTGTTGTGTATAAAATTGTCAAAATACAAGTTAAAGTAGTTGTCCAGTTCGGCCCTCATAAAAAGTTGTTAAATTTTTTTTTCTCGGCTTTTACCCAGATGAGAACGCACATGTGAGTCAATTCAAGAGGTTTGGAACTAGAAATGATGCTGTAATTGGCAACAGTATTAGTAGACCAGATAAATAAGATTTTTTTCGTGACACTGAACCGGCCAGGCGAACGACAGTTTTTTTAAGAATGGGAGAAAGGCAATGTGTCCACAGAAAAAACAGCTTCTAACTGAACGAATGAAGAAACAAAGGTTATTATGTATAAAAAAATACTCTAATTAGACTGTCGACGACTGGAGAAAAGGCCTATTTACAAATGAAACTCACTTTACAGTTTAGGGAGAGCGGTCTAATTTCGTCAGGAAGTCTGACAATGAAAACCTTATACCATCTCATATTAATCAAACCGTAAAACATCCAGTCAAAAAAATGTTTTCGCGATGTTTTTCATACATGGGGGTTGGATTTTAGGTACCAATCGAAGGCATCATGAACAGCCAAAAATACAAATCCGTATTGGAACATCGTTTGGACACAGAACTCAAAAGTGTCAGCCCAAGGAGGAGCGATTCTCCAACAGAACTCTGCTCTTTGTCACAAGTCAAACCAATGATAAAATTTTTCGAAAATAAGAAGATTAATGTTTTAGATTGGCCCGGTATTTCCCCAGACCGCAATTCCATTGAAAATTTATGGGCCATTTGCAAAGCTAGACTGCGCAAAATAGACTGTACTACAAAAATAAAAATGATAGAAGCTGTCATTCAGGTTTGGTTTCGAGTGGGAAGTGTCAGAAGCTTGTAGAATATATCCAAAATGGGTAAAAGCAGTAATTGCAGCCAAAGAGGGGCATGTTTCCTACTAAATGATGTAAGTTTGCCTTTATAGTTTTGTCAAAATGTAATTTTTTTCTAAATAAACTGTTTTTCATTAAAACAGCCTATGATTACATTAATTCACACAGTACTGTAAGTACAAAGGTTGCGCAATTGAACTGTTACCTATTCAAACGACCATAATTTTTTTGTGTGAAATTATAACGAGTTATGGTGCGATACACAAACATTTTATTCACTTTGAGGTGTTTGAGCTGACGAACAATAGCTGATTGTGATTTTTACGTTTAAATTCCAACTTTTGTTGAATGTATAAAACTTAAATGCGAATGCTTTTGCCGGCTTATTAAACAATATACTTAAGTGTTATCAGGCCAACTTTGACATGGCTGTCACTATCGATTTGCCAGATATATCGATGTGAAGTTGGTAACAGTTCAATTGCGTAACCCTGTACATATCAACAGTCAATAAAAACAGTAAATAAAAAAATCTTACCTTGTTCCTAGTTTCCCGTCTTTCGGGTTCGTTCTCTCCCTTTGCAGCTACGGTTTGAATCTTCACTCGGTGAAGTTTGGAACTAAACGATTCGTTAACGTAGAATTCATGATTGGATTCTATTTCTTTATTCCTCGGATTTTTTATTAGAACTCTTTGCGTTGCTTTGCCCATTGCTAGTGACTGTAACGCCCTATTTAAAAACTCGATTAGTAAAACAAAACAATTGGTGTTTCATAACAAAAATTATTATTTGAGAGGATATTACAGGGTGCCCGATGGATTTATATATTTCAGTTTTATGACGATCCTAGAACTCGAAGATAATAAAAACAATACCTAATTACGTATCCAATAGCCACACAAATATTACTAGACACTTATTTTTACTCAAAAGATTAATACGGTTGTACCATATATGGAACATGCCTACAAGATATTAGATTTAAAAGTAGCTGCAAATGAGCCATCAAAACGAATGGAGAGTCATAAAAGGGCAAATCTATACAAAGAAAATAATAAACAGTATCGATAGGAGACGCCCCAGCAACCTGATAAACTTCAACAAAGTAGGAAGTTTCTCTTGTAAGTAATATTTTGTTATTGTAAATATTTATCGCAGTGTATATTATATGTATAAGGTATATTAAAAAAAAATAAAACCAGTATACTATTATAACGCATTTTTCTATTTATTTTTTCATTGCATGGCAAATAAAAAAAAATTAATCCACCATACACAGGGGACCAGGTTCCCTCTGAAAACTGAGGCTAACTACGTCGATGAGTAATTGAATCAAAAATGTAGAAAAATTATATGTAAATATAGATCAAATACTTGATAGTACTCATTCTAATTACCAAGGTCTTCACTTAATACAATATTTTTAACAATGAAAACAAAATAAAAATTAATGAACAATACAAAAGTTAATCTTACCTAATTAGGTCCCTTTCCGGTATATCAGACTCATTAAGGATCTCTTCATACGTCAACTTATCGTGATTATTAAACAACATCAACACTACCATCTGATAAGTAGACACTTGTATGATGTGTTTCCTAGGCCCTGACCTCATCGAGACTGTTGTAGTCGAGGAAGAACAAGCGCCATCCTTGTCGCTATCGTCCTTTTTCGGGCCGTAGAAAATAGCGTTCAGGTCGGCACTCCCAAGTTGAGGCTGCAACGTAAGTTGCCGGCCGCTGTGTTTGGCTAAATAAAATCTGAAAGAAATTATGGATACATATATAAAAACCTGAAAATTGCTGATTTCTAAATGTTTCTGAACAACCTAAGATATGATGACGAAACGGTTTTAATCGCACACAAATCGGCGTATCTAGGATACACCGATATTTTCCTGGTAGGAAGAGATGAAGAGGAGTTAAAGAACATGCTTTTAAAACTAGATAGAGAGCACGAAGGTTGGTATTAGTGGCACGAAATTAGGGATTCAAAACGACTAAAGGAAGACCACATATGAGGTGGACAGATGGTGTAAAGAGACATTTCCTGTTCAAGGTAGATGAAAATCGCAATGGACAGAAAAAAATGGAAGTCAGAAGGGGGCCTATATTTGAATTTGGTTATAAAAAGTGCTTTAGATAGCTTGATAGATAGAAAAAAATAGACAAAAAGTGTAATATTTACACTTTCTAGGATTCTCATTAGTTCCGAATATTGGAGATCATCACTTTATTGACTGCCGTACGAAACAATTCCATGGTTGTCACGATAAACCAGGTTCTCAGATTCTGATGCTAGAAAAAGCCGTTGTTGTTTTTAATACAATTTTGGTTTGGAATTTTTAAGAACAATTTAAAAAATACATTTTTGATGTAAAATTTCTATCTTAACATAATAACCAGGCCAGACTTTTGGAATTTTGCAAAAAATTTCAAAATTCTGACATGGCTATTATGTGAAAAAAAAAAGTAGAAAATATGAAAACATGTTCAAATTTCTGTAAAGCAAAAAGAAATATTTTGGGTAAAATACCACTGGGATTAACAATATATAAAAATCATAAAAAGTTTAGATTTTCCACGTTTTCCGCAGTTTTCTCAATATTATAAAATGTTTGATTTAGTCTCCAGAAAACTGGTCATAAAAACACACGTCTCAAAATTATTTAGGCACATTTTTGATTTTCATATGGACACGAGGATACAAAAATACTTACCTCCTAAAACATTCGAAGGCAGCTAGTGGTACAGCTGGTATATGACATTTTGGGGTTGCGTTTTGAGTGGGCCAAAAGCCAGTTGTCAGCACTCGCATTAATAAATCGATTCCACCTAAATTTGTCTGTAACATATCAATGTAACACATTACTTAATATTTATTTAAATTATTTTCTATTATAAAGTATTTTTATTTATATTTGGAAAAAATTAAATATTGATTGTTAAAATACCAATAACTGCAAATTATAAGATTATAATTATTAAAAACGAGAATGTAGGTCTGACTAGGTCGTCAGACTCTATGCTCCAATATATGTGTCAGGGACGTATACCATGTAGTAAGTACTGATTTTCTACGTAAACCTTTTCAATGTCTGGCGATTTTGTTTGATAATCATAAAATCGACCACTTTCACCTTCCACAGACAAGAAAATCGAAAAAATTACGTCAGATAACACGAAAAGTTGTTTTTGCTGCTGCTAATGAAAGTATCTTGAAACAATTATGTATGAAGTTCGTGAAAGTCATTTTTCCAACAGATTTAAATAGTCAGTTGCGTTGAATGACCTATATTTTTCATCAGTCAATTTTATTTTCGTGTTTTTCTTATACTTATTACGCTATTTATTTAAAAAAAAAAAGGCAGAACCAAAAAAGTGGCAGAGTGAAACCATGTCAGATTTTGGCCTAATGAAGAGACACTGACAAGTCTGTAAGAGAGTATCTATCATAAACTTTTTTGCAGACGGGACTATTATTTGTCCTTCTTCCGTAAGTGTAGCTTTGTTGGTTTTCCTGGTTATATGTTATATTCCAGGGCAAGATTAAACAGAGTTGCAGATAATGACTCTCCTTGTCTAACCCCTTATTTATAACAAATTCCTCTGTGTTTCCTACTTGGGTTTTTACACTTACTATAGTGCAGCTCATTATCATTTTTATTAATCGTCTATATTCCCATTTCTCTCATCATCATCATCATTCTGGCTCTACAATCCTGGACCAGAGTCCAGGTTTCTGAACCATATGTTAGGACTAGGCGTATTATTGTTTTGTAGAGTTTTATTTTTGTATTTCTCGATATATCAGCATAGGTCAAGATTTGCACCGATTTATTACATATTGAACCAGTGGTTGTGATTTGTGACATACGTATTACTTTTTCCAGAGCCAGATTGAACAGTATAGAGGAGAGAGGATCTCCCTGGCGCAGCCCATTATTTGTTTTAAAAGGTTCAGACAACTCCCCCTGAATTCGTATTCATTCAATTTTTTCAAGAGTTAGTTTTGTTAAATTTACCAATTGATTTGGTATTCTTAGCTCTTTCATTGCTTTGAACATTTCTCTTCTATTCGCAGAGTCGTAGGCTGCTTTGTAGTCTATAAATATGTGATGAGTATCAATGCCATATTCCAGTGTTGTTTCCAAAATTTGTTTCAGGATTGCAATCTGATGAATTGTCGATTTACCACCTCTGAAACCTGCCTGGTATTTTCCTACTATCCGTTTTGCATATGATGCCATACCTAGAACATTCAAAGATATTTTTTGTATATGGTGCAACATATTCCAATATTTCAATCATTGGGGAGGGATTTCGGTGTCTATATTTCTTTTATAAGCTGCTGTAATGCCATAATAGTATCATGGCCACCTTCTTTATATAGTTCAGCTGGGAGATTATCTATTCCGGGTGATTTGTTTCTGGCTAGTTTTTTAACTGAATCTTTAACTTCAAGAATCGTTGGTGGCTCCTCTTCCCTCTCGTCTGCTCCCCTTACCTCATCTCTTTCGTCTTCCAGGTTTTCTTCTTCTTCCTCTATATTAAGTGCCTGGTTAAAGTAATCCACCCAATTCCATCCAATTCAATACATATTTCCTTGTTGTTAATAATAGTCAGTAAGGTTTTTTATATCCATTTTATTTTCTTTATTGGTGTTTGAAATTATCTCATAGTTACCAGTAATTTTGATCTTTTTATTGAATAGATTATGTTGTGGTTAATATTGTGCTCTGTAATTATTACCATTGTTGGTCCTCATTTTTATGAATCGTGATAATTTGTCCTCTGTACCATTCTTCCGGCATTTTTTCTTCGTCTTATATGTTTTTTAATAAAATGTATAGTTTTTCTTTTAGTTCATCCCCACCATATTTTATGAGTTTCATATTTATGCCGTCTGTACCTGTAGCTTTACCATTGCGGCTGCTATTTATAATTTCCTTGATCTTTCGTTGGTTTTTGATTGAATTGAAGAAGATTGATTGAATTATGGTTAAAAAGAGAACAAATTTAGAAATGCAATAATCTTAGTTGGGACATATCCCAGTACAAATATAAAATCAGATCGCAATCCACTGATTGGGCAATGTCGCGTAGTCTCAAACTGAAAATAATTAAACGGGCAAACAGAGAATAATATGATTTAATAATGATTAAAAATGTATATCCTTGTATGTTTATTTCTTGGACTTCTAACCCGGCATAACAGAATCACCAAGAAAGTGTGAATGAAATTAAAAAAAAAAATATTTAACTTAGTCATTTATAAACTAGGAGGACAGCTTCAAATCTGTACTATTTAAATTAGTGATTGATATAATAATAAAAGGGAAAAGAAGGTTAGTTCATCTACAAACTACTATAGGTTATGTTATATGAACTTAATGATAGTGAGTTTGGAAGAATTTTGTATAATTTCGTACAATGTACCTAGTAATAATGGTTGACAATAAGAAAAAATGTCTAATAGATATATGGGTAGGAAAAAGAGAAAATCATGAAAAGTAAAAACAAGTATAATACAAAAAGCAACACATACTCGGTCTAACATTGTACTTACCTCAGACTTCGTAACATGTTCTTTAAATTCATCCATAATCGTATTGGAAACAGTCATATCTTTAAACATCCCTTCTAACTTAGAAGTAAATTGGCAACCACACTCCGTCTACAAATATTTCAAGAATTATAAATAACTGATAAGGACAAAATACGAAAAACCAAATACCTTTAACTTAGAGATCATATTCTTTTCGTAATCATCGCTGACAGATTTATTCAACAATAACCGTTTGGCAAGATGCTGCTTGTAATACCTTTCGAAAACATCTTTCTCTTGGAGGAACCTAAATAAAACCATTGACTTATCCAATACTTGTTCTATCTCTTGTTCGGTCATCTGAAAAGAGATGCATATTAAAAAAAAACAATATAAAATTTTTTCTTCCAATCAAAAATGAAGAAGAAAATCTAAAATTATTCTACTTTTTTATTGCAATTATCGAAATACTAATAGTTTATTGTTTCAGACAACACAGTTGGTTAAATATTTGATAATATAGGGTGTCATAAAAAAAGAAGAAACGGAAGAAAAACAAGAAATAACGAAAAAAAATTATAGAAACAGCAAGAAAAGAGGAATGAGAGGGAAAAAAGATAGACAAGAACAAAATAAATGATCGTATAGATTTACTGTAATAATCAACTTACTTACGATTTCTACGCTTTTCTTGAGCTTATCGTCACTAATCAGCGACAAATATTCCGACGATGTGGGGCTCAAATTGAGGAAACGTTCAAGGTTAGAAGATTTCATCTGTTTAAATATTTTATCATTAATAAGGGTATTCGGAAGGGAAAGATCAAAACCTTGTTTGAGATCGAGGAAGGATTTTACGAAAGAGATGGCAAAAAAAAGCCGACTGTTCTTAGACAATGGAGTTTACCTTCATATTCAAGATAGAGGAAAAAAGCAAAAAGAAAAGATTAAAAGCGAAATAAGAAAGAAAAAGAGAAAAACTATGTGACTTAACAAGTTTTATAAATATACTTACGCCTTTTACACCTTTCTTGAGCTTATCATCAATAAACAGCGACAAATACTCCGGAGATTTGGGGTTCAAATTGAGGAAATGTTCAAAATCTGACGCTATCATCTGTTTAAATATTTTATCATTGTTAAAGGAATTCTGGAGGAAATGGTCGAAGCCGTCTTTGAGATCGAGCAATGACTGCACGAAGGAGATCGCATTGGTGGCCGGCTGGTGTTCTTCTTCTTGGACGAGGGCTTTACCTTGTTCTCTAAGGTACAAACTGACGCAATCTGCCATTGTTTTCAAACCATCTGTTACACGACCGAACAGTTTGTACATACAGCATAAATCTTCGGTCTTTTGGTGCTTCAGCATGTGTACCACACCGGAGTTTTCCATCTGAAATTATAAAATATATAAATTTTAAGGATTTTCTACAATTGATTTCAAGATATGGGTGACACCGAGAAAGAAAATACCCGGCGCACAATAAAACTGGAAAACCGTAACGTTAATCCAGAACTGTCCGCTACTAACAGCGTCAGGCTCAACGGGAGCGACTAAATATACACCCACCAACAGACTGAACAAGTGAGGTGAGGTGCAATCATCCTCACGGATTCTGGAGGGCGCACAAAACTTTTTAATTGGAACAAATAGATACCTCTTAAACCAGGAAAAAGTGGACTAGAACAAGTTCGGGAAAAACACTATTCTACAACGAACGCAATTTCAATCAAAGAGATGTAGGATTCTGAATACACAAAATACAGCACGATAACAAAAGTATACAAGGTAATATCATTGAAGAGAAAAAGGACGAAACAGAACGGCACATAGAAACTCTAGACAAGGACATAGAACCAGCAGAGGAGAAATATGAATGAACTTCCTGACACAAAAAACAATATGCGATGAATAACTTCTAAAAATAAACGCCAACGTGGAAAATGGATATGGGCTAAGTTTGATGAGATTACAGTAGATAGGCTATGTACTTCCTGGACCAACCCCTAAATTGCAACCCCTAAAATCGCAACCCCCGGTCGTAAGTTCCAAACGGCTTAACGTAGGATGACGTACGAGGGCTCGTTGGAAAGGGGATGAAAAATGGGGTTGAATGCAGTATGTGCCGTGCGCATCGGAGCATGCCAAAAGGTCATTATGGGGTATCTTCGTTTCTATTGGTCCGATCGTGACGTACGAGGGCTCGTTGGAACGGGGAGAAGGCGGGGAGACAAAAAACAAAGATGGCGGCGTTGCCAAATGGGCGTTAAAACGTATCTTCGTTGCTATTGGTTGGATTTTGACGTATGAGGTGTCAAAGCGTTGGATGTCACGTGACATTCGACGCAGAACGTGACATTTGTCACAGAACGTGACATTCGACGCAGGACGTGACATGTATGTGACATTTGTCACAGAACGTGAAATGTCAAGTGACATTCGACGCAGGACGTGACATTCAACACAGAACGTAAAATGTCACGTGACATTCAACGCGGGACGTGACATTCGACACAGAACGTGAAATGTCGCGTGAAATGACGTGACATTCGACGCAGGACGAGACATTTGACGCAGGGCGTGACATTTATGTGACATTTGACATAGATCGTAAAATGTCACATGAATTGACGTGACATTCGACGCAGATCGTGAATTGACGTGATATTCAACGCAGGACGTGACATTTATGTGACATTTGACGCAGAACGTTAAATGTCACGTGAAATGACGTGACATTCGACGCAGGATGTGACATATATGTGACATTTGACGCAGAACGTGAAATGTAGGAATTACGTGACGTGAGACGTTTTGACGTAACAGTTATGTGTCAGTCAAGACATCGCTTGACATAAAACGTGACATTCAACATAGGACATATTCAGTAGGAATGCGTAGGAGAAATAAACATATCTTTCATTAAAATATCTTTTATTATTGAGTTACATATAGATACAAGTTATATACAACACTGAAACTTGAATATTAAAAAAGACATAGACATGTAGAAGTATTGTTTATTTACATTAGTTCCAAAAGCACTTCTTTATAATCTTCCTCCATCTTTAGTAAGCGATTAGGATATGCCAACCAAAATCGTCCCTTTTTCACAAAACCTAGTAGTTCAAGTAGCGTTTTATTCAGGTAACCTCTATTCAAATATCGTATAAGGGTATTTCGTCGATCAGTAGTTTTAATTATGTGATGTAATTTAATTTGAACGTCGTCTGTTAATGCCTCTATTTGCGTTTTTATGTGTAAAAGTTGTTCTTCTCTAAGTATTCGTTCTGCTTCCAATCTCCTTTGATCTTCAATTCGCAGGTTTGTCAATTGTTTTTTACATGTTTCACATAATATGTACCTAGTCCTAGTATCGTTCCAATCGTTCATTTCGAATAGTTCTATACAACCGCAAGGTTTTATAGTTTCACTTAATGTCTCATAAGGCATTGTGTCTGCTAACCAGAGGAATAAATGTAAGAGACTTCTGAAGAGGTATCCCAAACGTTTAAGAAAAGAACTAGCATACGCCAGAGTGCTATTCTCTGCACTCACAGATACAGAGAGCAACAATAAGGCATGTAAACAGACCAGCACCTTGATTTATACTAATTTCCAAAAAATTGGTACTATAGTTATTTATACAAAATTCACAAAAACGGAATTATATACTGAAATATTAAGACAGAAATATTTTAAATAATAATATGTTAAAATTGTGCATTTGATAGCAAACCGGATGAAGCCTCATGATAACAATACACCGCGTTGTTCAAAACACGTAAACAAGTGTGATAACAAATTTTATTTTAATCATTGGAAAAACAAGTACACCGGAAAGAAAACCGCAGTTGCTACATTTTGTAAAATGTATGAAGATATCAGCAACCACATCAACAAAATTCTAAATTGATAACAACGATTCTCTTACCGCAATATCAATTTATTGTATACCATAAATATTAGTTGAAGAAATAAAAATAAATATAAAAATATTAGCATTTCTAGAACAGCACACGTTGCTTATCTATGAAACGAATCAGTTGATTGTACCGTAGGCACATTAGGTTGACGCAACTCGGGCTCGGGTGGGGCGATATGCTGTTCTGTTCTTTAAAAGGCCGAGGAGCGCATACGGTGTCACAGTTCGCTTCGCAAACGTACTACAACAACAAGTTCGCAGTAGTCAATACGGTGTGCAGTGACTTACATATATCTGATAAAGGTAAGCGGTTTTTGTCTTTTGTATATTTCTATGTATTTATTATGTCCTTTTTATCATTGTATTTTATGAGAATTGTACATCTCTCTGGTTGTATTTCATGCAGTATTTTATGAAAAATGTATACTGTTTTTGTATTTATTATGTCCTTTTTATCTATGTGGGTGTTGTAAAACATTTCACGTCTGCTATTTTTTATAAGAAGTATTCTCCGCTGTTCGTATTTCGATTTCTTGTAGTATATGGTTCTTCTCTATTGCCAAGTATGTAATGCATCTCTCCATTCACGTTAAGCGGAAAAACTATAGTTTTTTGTTATTATTGTAGATGGATCTATCAAAACTAAATAATGCATCCTTGGTTGCAGAACGTAAGCCAATAAAAAAACTTAAAGATCTACAAATTGGAAAAAAATTTACCATCCACAGTGCAAAGGTGGTAACAACACAATTTGGGGAGACAGTTCTGCTGGATTTGGGTGCTGAAGTTGTCTTCTTACCACAGCGGGTAACCAAAGCCTACCAAGCAGCAATAACGGACCTCAACAGCGGAAACTATTCGCTGATATACGAAGGGGAAGTTGATATTGGAAAAAGCAGACTCCTTGCATCCTTTAAGATAGTTGAATAAGGTAAGTGATTTTTTCTTATTGTTTGTTTGTGAGTAACCATGCATATAAAACAAGTGATTAAACAGTCTGATGATTTGATGCACATTATTAAAAAGCTTAGTAAAATAATTTTCGATAAATTCACTGAAAGAGATCGTAAAGTTTGGACAAGACGGTTAAATAGTCACATTTTTAGATGTAGTAAAGTAATTAAAAACCATAAACTATCCGTAGGAACAGTTAGAAAATTGCAAACTTACATAGGACATTTTAAGCATTTTAGGCAAATTATTTTAAATTTCAATAATAAGTACGTTGGGTTGGGGCTTAATTCAAAATTACGCAATAGAGTTAAATGGGAAAATGTCATTTCATGTTTTGCTAGTCGAATTAAAACTGGAGTTATAGTTAATTTAGTGCATAAGGACTTAACACAGTTCCTAAATGATTGTTATATTATTTTTAGTAGAAAAATTAACAGTAATTTAAAAACAAATAGATTGCTTAAAGTCAATACTACATTTTGCGGTGAATTCATTAAAAAATCGAGTGATAGCGAAAGTTTAGATTTAAAATATTTTAACACTAAAAATGCTATTATAGACGCATCGACCGATTTACATCTTTGGTTCAGTGAAAATGTTAAGGATAAAATTTTTACAAAGCTGTCGGAGTTTGCAGAAAAAGATTCTGGTGCTGCTCTGTCTAAAGTAATCTCATTAGAAGTCAATATTAATAAAGTAGAAATAGGAAACGGTTCATCGTTCATTGACTTGCCAAAAGAGATTAGCAATAAAAAGGCTTGTATTAATGTGCATAACTTCGATCAGGCTTGTTTTTATTGGTCAATTGTTAGCGCTCTGTATCCAGCAAAAGATCATCCACAACGAGTTTCAAAATATCCGCATTATTCTACTGTTTTACAAACTGACAAATTAGAAAGCCCAATGCCATTAAGCCAAATTTCCAAATTTGAAAAATTAAACGCCATATCAGTCAATGTTTTTGCATTAGAATTAAACGTAGTGAAGGACAAACAATTTTATGAAGTAGTACCTGCCAGACTGACACCGCAAAAGATGGAAAAGCATGTAAATTTGCTCCTATTACAAGATAAATATTTCCCAAAGTTAAACGATTACGATGCTCCTCCAGAAGATGATGATCAGACTGAAATACGCCTTCATTATTGTTGGATTAAGGATTTAGGAAAATTAGTAAAATCGCAATTAAACAAAAACAATCGTAAAAAATATATATGTGATAGATGTTTGAACTATTTTAGCAGTGAAAGCAAACTAGCAGAGCACGAAGAAATGTGTTCAGATGTGAATAAATGCAAGATGACTGTTCCCAAATATGATCATGTGGCTTTTCGCAATTTTACATACAAACAAACAACTCCGTTTATAGTTTATGCCGATTTTGAATGCCAATTACATAATTTTACAGATTCAAATGTCTCAGTGAGTAAAACAGCAAAATATCAGAAACATGTACCTTTTAGTGCAGGTTATTATTTGAAATGTGCTTACGATGATAGTTTATCTTATTTTA